CCCCAAAACCCCAAAACCCCAAAACCCCTAATTATTCAAACGAGATTGAAAGGTAGAATTCCTAAAATGAAGATTCCTTGTTACATTCTGTCCAGATCTCCATAACTTTTGTCATACTTCTGCTAAACTTCTCCCTAGATTTGAAAAAAGAGGAGATTCTTGGCTGTGATCTTTGTGTTCTAGAATGATGAATATAAAATTTACAATGGCTCACGAGTCTTTCCACAAGAAATGTTTGCATCTGATTTTGAGGATACTCTATATTCCAGTTAGAGTTCTACTGCAAAAGTTTGTTGATAAAATAACAGCTAAATGGGAAGAGGTCATACCTTCTTTTTGCAATTTTATTAGAATATCTGGTGCTCACATATTCCTATGAGATGAATCTGTATTAGTACATGTAAGATCTCAGGAAAACTCTGCATCTGGCCGTAATTATATTTAGATATATTTGTCTGGGATTTTTCTAAATTTTGATCGACTCTGTGTACCTCTGGGTAAAATATAACTAAGTTTGAATTTTCCGAATTTTTCCATACTCTTTTCTCTAACTCTTGAATAATGCTTCATAAAAATCTAGACTGGTTAAAGCAAGCATGCCTTGTTTCACTTGGAAATTGTTTTCTTGTGCACATTTATAGCATTTTTACAGTCTTTCTTGATTGTATCACTGTCATAGTCCATAATCTCACTAAAATCAACCTTTTGAATATTTTTTACGAGTTCATCTTCAAGAGACTGATTTATCTTCCTATGGAATTAGTTCTTCCCCGAGTTTACTTGACAGAATCAGTGAGTGCATCATCAGTCTGAATCTCAGATCTTCTTTTATTTACGACTGATATTCAGGATTTTATTCAACATTTTTAACTCTTCCTTCAGCTCTTGGAGTCTATCAGACTTTGGCTTAGGTTCCTCTGGCTGAACATTTTCAGTTCTTAGAGATTTCAATGATTCAGGATTTATTTTCCTTGTGAGCTGCACTGGAAAGCGCACATTTTGACGCTGAAATTAATTCAGAATAATACTTTATAATTTGAAACTCTACGATCCCTAATTCCTAGTAATGCATTTACAGCTTGATATCTTCCTTTTCTATCCTTTTGATAGTAAATGACTGGAGGAAGGTTGGTCAGGATTCTTGAAAACTAATAATTATTGCTAAGACACTACATTAGGGCTAGGTATCAATTTCTTGCTAGAAAACTGCTCACTTTCTTGTCTCATTAGAGAGCTCTCACTATCCACATGGTTGATTTTACAAGGTGAAATCTTCAAAAACTTTGAAACTAAAATATTATTCAACTTCTCATTTTATCAATGAAAACCCTTACCGTTCTTTGAAACAATTGGAGAGATGTCCTTAGTTACTGAATTTGCTACAGTATTTCTTTTATTTCTCAAATTTCTTTTAATCCCTACAGTAAATTACTTAAAATTCTAACTTTTCTTCCTGTGTGTTTTTTGAATATTACTCAAATCTATATAAAATCTTAGAGTATTCTATATTTTCCAATTCTCTGACCCAATCGACTCTTATATTCTCACCTAACAATATTCCACAACTCCATACCCTAACACAAGGTCACTAAATCCAGCCTAGCGAAGACTAAAATCATTTCCCTCATCTAAAAGTGTGAAACAACTGAACTACTGTATCTAAACTGTTCATTATTTCACCTTTATGAGTAAACCACAGCTCAGCTGCCTAATACTCTATATTCCGCTTTCTTCAAGACTAGGATTGACTTCTTTAGATGGACCTTAAGAATTGGTACAGTTGGGGTAAAAGTGCATGGAATAGGGCTTTATTGCGAGAGAATTGGTTTAGAGAAGTGGAAGTTGGAGGGGAGGATTAGTGCAAAATAGGTTGGGAGGGCTCTTGGTATTAGAGATAATAGATGTGGTTTTGGTAGAACCAAATTTGGGGGTAAATTAGCTGAGATGTAGATTTCATGAGCAAGATTATAAGAAGTTAGAATCTTATAGAGCAGTCAAAATTTGATATTTGAGATTTTGGCTTCAAGAAAAAGTTATTTCAATGTTAGTTTCTTGAGATTGAGAAAAATAAATTCTTCAAGTAAAATGACTTTAATTATTATTTTACTCACCATCGTTATTTTGGACCTGAATATGATCAAATTAAAGCTTACTCAATTGAGTTTTGGAGCCCATAGCACTTGATGGATGATAGGTTGATCCAAAGTCTAAAGTATCAGGACCAAATTTACCAGAAGAAAGTCACTTTGAAGCCTCTATTTTAACAGATGGCTTTTTACGGGATAATTGGATCTTGTCATGACTAGTATAAAACCTCCAGCTTGTCTTTCTAGATTTATAAAGATTGCTTTCTGACAAGTTTCGATAAGAAACCACGGATTAAAAGAGTCTTTAATCACAATTTTACTTACTTATGCTCCATTTTTAGCATTACAATATTAACAATTTTTATTATGAACCACGGGGTTTTGGGGTTTTGGGGTTTTGGGGTTTTGGGG